GATAGTGCCCCAAACTAAAGGAGTAGGGCTGAGGCTCTTTAAAAAAAAGGCATAGCACCTTGGGAGCCTAACTGGGATGCCTGTGGTGATACGAAGGTTTGGGAGAGGAGTCCCACCCTTCCCTTCACATTTAGGGGTCTCATTTTCCAGTTTTCCCAAAGTGAATCCTAGAGAAGCAGGGCTGTGCAACCGGTCTGGGCTTTAGTCCCCACCTCTTCCCGACTGTGTTCCCCAACCTGCTCTGCCTCCTACCACTTGGTGGTAATCTGTATGTAAGCAGAGGGAGGCTGCCCTTGAGACCAGGATAGCCCTTCCTTTGGTGCCTTAGGGCTATTGTTGTGGCCTCCTTGCCACCCCACAGCCATGCACACACCAAGGATCCTGGTTTTCTCTGATTTAAGAAAATCCCCACTTTTCAGTTACAACAAAGTTACCCCAAATCCACATTTTTCCATGGTTAAAATGAAACACCACTATCTATCTATCTGTATATTAGTGGTGTTTCATTTAAATCATGGAAAATGTGGATTTGGCGTTACTTACTTTTAACCAAAAATCAGGGATTCTTTTAAATTGGGGAAAACCAGGATCCCTGCTGATGACTTTGTTCCCCTGCCCCTTTGTAGGGACTCTCTCCCTCATGCTCTCTCTCCACAAGATCAGCACCGGGCCCTTCAGGTCCCAGCCCTTGTTCAGGCTTCAGCCTTTTTGGCTTCGGCCCCTTCAGCTCAGGTCCACTGTTTTGGGTCCTGGCTCTCCAGGTCTCAGCCGTGCAGCAGAGTGCCTGCCAGGTGCCCTGCTCATGGCCTTCTCCAGCCCTGCAGCCACTCCCCGTCCTCCAGTCCTGAAAACTCAAGTCCAATACAAAGAATCAGAACAAAGGGGTTAATTGCCTCGTTACAAGCTACTTCCAACCCTCCTGGGTCACAGCAAAGGTTACCACTATCTGGAGTCACTGAAGCTTTCCTTCCCCACCTGCTGGCGGTTCCTCTCACTCTCATGCCCACCGCCTGCAAGGTAGAAAGCCTCCTTGCCTCCCAATTTGGAGCCTGGGTTTATATTCCTAAATCCTGCCTTCATTTGTCACCTGGCCACTGCCTGGAGGAAGAGAGACCTGTCCAGGTGTCCTTACTTAAATAGGCTCCTTAACCACCCCTGGCTTCCAGACTTGAGTCTCTTTTGAGCTGCCTGCTGCCCCAAGGATGTGTCCCTCTATGGGAGAAAAGGAGATCATGGCTATGCAGCCCAACACCGGCCCTTCTGTAGCCACTTCCAACGGGGCAGGTGGCTGGAGCTGGTCCCCACAGCAGGAGGAGGGAGAGGCGTCTGCCCTGAATTCCTCTCTGGATGCAACGCTTCCACCGATCGATTCCCTTGATGTACATGATGGGTGGCATACACGGCTATGAGGAATAATATTTTGCAGATCCTGCGATCGAAAGGAAATGAACCTTTTCTTGATTGCTTGCTTAGCTGAGCAGTCTGTAACGTGATAGACTGCAATTATATCATACGGAGCAAGTTTGTCTATTCATTCCCTTCCTCTCCACGTTTCCTCCTCTTGATTGAATAATCACTAACAATAATCACAAGCAGCTGTAGGAAGGAAGTGCACCCATCATTTTTAATGTCAGCAAGAATGAGGGCTGATTCCTCCAGCATTCATCATAATTCTACTTCTCCAGAGCAATTTCAGGTTTTTTCATACTGGCGCAGTTAGTTAACACTGAGATGGCATCAGTTCTATTGCTGGGCTGTAATTCAGTTGCTTGTAACCCGGAACAATAGAACCCCAGAGACATGGAAAATATCTGACTTAAAAAAGGATGGTCTTCCCGCAGACTTCCCTGAAGTCTCAAAAAAGCTTTAAAAATGATGCTTTATCTGGAGTGTTTGTGAAAATACCATCGATGCACTAAGTGGATGCTGTGCAGTTTGTAACTTTACCCAGACCAAACAAATCACATCTAGGGAGGCATAAGCTTTCCCCTGTTAACCTATTCAAGGTATTAGTTTTCCAGCCTGATTGAACCACCTAACTGATCACTGTTAACTATTTGGCTACTGATTCCTGTATCAGAAATTGCCAGCTAATAGGTTTGCTCAGGCAATATACCTAACAGCGCTCCCTGCTCAATACTGCATCCAGGGAATATCTAAAATTAAATCCAAGATGAAGTTGTGGATTGCTCAATATTACTTAAGTGTGATACAATTTTGAGATTTAGTTTTTTCAATGCAGATAACAGTAACGGTATCTGACGGCACTCTTTGCTTTAAGTGCAGATAACTACTTAACCGTAAACAAACTGTCTTGACTTACATGGTGCTTTGAAGCAGCAATGATGAGCATATTACTAGTGCACATTACTAGTGCAGGGAAAGGGGACTTAGAAAGAGGGCAAATTCCCATAGGGTAAGATTTGGTGAACTCAGGCTTGATGATTTCAGGTAACGGGCCTTCCAGCTCAATCATTCCCCACCGCAGGGATCAGGATGAGACCAAATCTACTAGAAGTATTCAGATATAATACTGGAGGTTCACCATCCAGTTATTCCAATGCGAAGGGAAGATTAAAAAAACCCTGCAAGAACCAATGTGTCTGGACAGAGAACTATTTAACTCTCTACAAATCAAGAGATGCATGCAGGCAACAGAAGGAAGGCTGTCACACATACAAAATACACAGAGGAATAGCATGAATTTGTAGGGACAAAACCAGGAAGGCAAAGGCAAAAAAATAGGTTACAACCAGCAAGTGATATTAAGACAACAAGAGCAGGTCCAGTGAATAGGTCAGATGAAAAAGATTGGAGAAGCAGGGACTATTACTCAAAGGAGAAAGCGAACCATCACTGAAAGACATAAAGACAGTGATGATGTAAAATGTCTCTGTTGCTTCAGTCTTCACAAAAGAAAGTAAACTGCCAGCAGATGACTAGCAAAATGAGCATAGACAAAGAAGGCGGAGGGATGTAGAGCATGGTAAGGAATGAGGGATGTAGAGCATGGTAAGGAATGCACCAGAACACTTTCCATTAATTTGAATGAATTGAAGTCAGTAGGACCTGAAAGCACCCATCCCAGGGCGCTAAAGGAACCAGCTGAAGAAACGATGCCATCGCTGGTAATAAGATTTGCAAATACCTTGATGATGTGTGAGACCCCCAGAGGGTACCTGTAATATCTGTGCACCTGTCTTTATAAAGAGAAAATAAGAAAACAGAGAAAATGATAGACCGACTTGGGCTGTTTCTAGAGTAAATTATATAGTAAAGTGGTAAATACCTGGAGGCGGAACAAGTGATCACTAGCAGCCAATAAGACGAAAAATCATGTTGAATCAGTCTGATTTCCTTCTTTGACAGGGTGACTAGTTCGGTGGATGAGGGGAATATGGTGGACATGTAGCTGAGCTTTAGTTAAATGCTTCTCGGAAGGAAGATGGAGAAATGTGGACGAGTTCACATTACCATGGTATAGACACGATTGGTTGAATAGCAGCAAGGAAAAAGCAACTCATAATGGATCAGTGCTGCTAGGTCTTAGCTCAGGGGCGGGCAATTATTTTGGGCAGAGGGTCACTTACTGAGTTTTGGCAAGCCATTGAGGGACGCATGACAGGCAGCCAGGGGCAGATTAATATTTATTTTCTAAATTTTTTAGGGGTCCCGCAGGCCAGATGCAATGGCCTGATGGGCCGCATCTGGCCTGCGGGCCACATTTTGCCTGCCCCTGTCTTAGCTGGAGTATTAGGTCCAGTTTGGGGCACTATGTTATAAGAAGGATATAGAGAACCTGAAGAGGATGTGAAGGTGGGTAACAAAGATGATAAAGAAGATTCAGGCCGAGACATGTTGGTAGTTTTCAAATATCTGAAAGGCTGCTATAAAAAGACGAAAACATTGTTCTCCCTTGGAACAGGGACACAAGGCAGCAGGTCTCTACTGCAAAACAGATTTAAATCCAAACTCAGGGAAAACTTCCCAGATGTTGGAACAGTAAGACAGCGGCATACACTAGCTAGGAAAGCTGTGGGATCTCCTTCACTGAAGGCTTTCAAATTTCAAGAAAGTGGAGGAGCATCTGCTTTGGCATACCCAATCCTGCATCTCTGCAGGTAGCTGGATTAGATGACCTGCAGGTCCCCATCCACCTCTCTATACAGAGGGTGCCTATAAAATCTGTACACCAAAGTAGCTAATTTTAGAGCATAAGGCAAAATCCCTTTATTTGCACAAATAGCTGCATTAAGAGCAGCTGCAGAACACCCTGAAAAGAAAGCTGGTTTGGGGAGTTGGTTTGTTTGGGGGGTTTGGCGACAGAGCAACCAGAAGGAATGAATCCCAATTCCAGAAGCAAATCTCAAACAAGAGAGCAGTAGAGACAACAGCCCTTTTCAGACAGAAATGATGTTGCTCATAATTTGATGGGAGGTGCCAGGGTACTACATGCACAGAACCATCACAGATACACAGATAAAGGAGGAAGATGTGGGGAGGGGGTAGATCGCAAAGGTTTTTGAGAGGTTATTTATTTCAGGACTGCTGGGAGCAACCCTTTGCATTACGTTGTCTTGTCTAGGTGTGCTCAAGGCTCCAATCCAGAACTTACCATTCAGCATTTAATGGTGACGCTATTGAATCTCCCGCTGATTTAAATGCCTGTCTCCATTTATCCAAGCCAGCTTATCCCAGCTGATGGTCTGGCTAAGTTCAAAGACCATGGACTGAAAAAGATACGTGTTAATATGGAATCACAAAAAAAAATGGCACAAAGTGCTTTTAAAATGAAACTATTAGACTGGTTTATTGGACTGAGTTAAGTTGTCTTTCAAACACAGTGACACAGACCAAAAAAAGTACCCTGATTACTGTTTTAGTTATGGCTTACATCAATTGATAGGCTTTCTATCACAATTGGAGTACAGCTACAAAAACAATAAGCAAAAATTACAAGGTGGAAGATTTTAGTAAACCAAGAATCCATGAACATGAGGTTGTTAACAAGTAGGCATAAATCAAGTTGATTTTTCCCCCACCTAAACATGACAGAAAACAGGAACACAGTTTATTTTAATAGTAGCCCACGTCCATTAGCTTGAAGACACAGACATTTGTTCCAATGGATTGGAATATTTGTTTCTATCAGATGACAATGGAGGACATTGAACCAGCATTTTTCCCTCTCTCTTTTCCTTTGTGTGAAGGTCTCTATCAAACACAGTACAATTTCACTTAGCTGAAGGCTGACATCTGATAAAAGACCTTACTACGTTTTGCAAGACGTAGACCCTAAGCAAAGAAATGAAGGTCACCACCGGTAGCAAGCAGTTTTCCTTGCAAGGTTCAGTCACAGGGTCTCCGGTGTGCATCACTTCTACAGCATCCGGTGATGCAACCAACAGGACTAGCTTGGTCCTGGGTGTTCCTTACCAATAATGTTGGTATTAATTATGGTATATACAAACTTTATGGGGCAGTGGAGAGACTTCAATGCCTTGATTCCCCTCAGGAGTTCAAGAGGATGCCAGTTTTTAGATCCATCCAACATGTTATCTGGTTATCCGTTGCATGAACTTGTAACCATGTTGTGCACTAACTTGTTACAGTAACTGGGGGTGTTAAAAGGATGCACATCAGCTCACCAAACTGAACATGGAGAACATGTATGGCTTTCTAAAGGGAACTCAGACATATCAGTAGCATAGTCATTTATTTACAAGCTTCCAGCCCCATGCATACATTCAAGGCAGGTTTTTGTACTGTCCAAAGTTTCCCAGTAAGGCTCGCGCCTGCATCCCAAATGTACCCCACATACGCAGGGCAGTCTATGGGATTTTGATGTACGCAAGGCATGAAATGTCAGACCCCTGCACTGTCATACCAGCGCACAGTCGGCTCTCCCCTCGGGTTGCTGGAAAGGACTTCCCTAACTACAGCTGCTGTTGATTTTCCAATACCATGCAAATGACACGCTTACGCCGAATTGCCCATTCCCATTACAAGGATCACAGCATAATACTGAAGTGGTTTTTCCAGTGATATGTTATCCATTCATCTATAACTTTAACTGAGAGCTGTGAGGCCCTATTGCTGCCCCACAGAAGCCAACTGCAAACCTCCTGAGGACTTTAAAGGAGGGAGATTGCACCCTTGTCCCAAAGCCATTAGAACAGGTTTGCTCAATCCTCAACCCGTGGGCTAGATTTGGCCCCCAGCACCATATCATCCAGCCCGTAGAGTTTCCCACAGGTCCATGAGGAGCCTCGCAGGTCATTGCCCTGTGTACTAAATTGGGAGCGCAGCGTGGCAAACCTCGTACATAGGGATGAGCCGAGGTGACGCGGGACCCACCAGAGCCAAATCTCAGCATGCAAGACCAGGCAGGGGTGGCAGGAGGCTTTGGGGCCTGATCCCAGTGGGCAGAGGTGGTGCAGGACTCCAGGGCCCAAATCTAGCATGCGGAGGCCGAATCAGCCCGCACCCCTCATCTGGCCCACGGGGCTGAAAGGTTGAGCACCCCGCCTTAGAATCACCAAGGAATGCCACCCAGATCCAAGGAAATGGCCCTTTCCTCAAGGCGTGTGATTCCTACATGCACCCAATCAGGTAGGGAAGCCTGATTAGTATTTACATTGCCTGCGATTTTATATGGCAATTTGCGCTATCTCCATGAAATGCTTTGCATAGATGGCTTGGAAATATGATGCTTCCCAGAGATGAAGGTGCAGGAATCTGGAGGAGAAAGGGAGATACGCAAAGTTTCTGTCCCCAGGTAAGATTTGCTTCTTGTCTGCACACACACAATTAAAAACACTGTAATGCTACTATCCAATATTTACAATCTATACAACTGGCTGAGAAATGATAAGCTGCTTGCACCATTGCAATCAGGGCTCAGTCCCCATAATCCCATCCCCTTGACTCCGTAAGTGATTGGGCTATGGATCTGGCCTGTGGCATATAGATGCCTACTAATGCCCACTGTGGCCTGGACTTTTATTCCAAAGTCAAGCCAAGCTCCTAGTGACTCCCACGTTCCAAGGGGAGTTTGGGCAGAATAAGGGCTGCAGAATTTTGTAAGGGTTTCCCTTTTAATTCACATGCAAAAGTCCCAGAGCTCTCTGCGCAATGAGATGTAAGCCAGGTGAACAGCAGGGTTATCCTCAGGGTTGTATCATTTTGGAAATTCAGGGTTCCGATTGCAAAGGTCTATGCCACAAAAGGCCCAGAGAAGAAGCAAGTCCCCTAGCCGCTTGTTCCAGCAGTGTTTGTTCAGGAACCCCCTCACACACCGACTCCAGAAAGCACTGACCCATTGCGCACAGCATAACATCTAACAGGAAGGACCGCTCTATCTCTGTGCTGTGTTACAAACAGAAGCCACAGTCCCTGTTGATTTAACAAACCACCCATTCAGTGTAAATTATTCGTGGCACAATGCATCTCTCCAGTTGGGTTTCTCTGCCCCTCTTTCACATCACTCAATCACTCTGGGTGAATGATCTCTCTGTGCATGGGGGCTGTCTACGTCAAACTTGCATCTTCCCGTACAAGCACCATGCAGCAACTATGCAGTTGTTATTGCAGCTTCCAAAATGTAGTGCCCCTGCAACAGTCATCACTACAACCTGCTACCCTCTCCCTAGGGTTTCTTCAGTGAAGCTCATGGGCTTACTTGCCATGTCCTGAAGCCTACCCTAGGTAACTCCCAGGTACTGACATGTGGTGGAGCCTCCAAGGAGCATCTTGGAGCCCAGGGATGAGAGACCCGTAGGCAGTGTGAGTTGACTTTACCACGCACCAGTGGAATCACAAAGGATATGCTGCAGTACACAACAGAGGATTTACCCTGGTGTTGATCTATCACATTTGATCAACACCAGGGTTTGAACATGAGACCGACAGAGCTGAAAGCAAGAGACTACACTGCTTATCCTGAAATGACTGACACCCTTAGCTGGACCAGCCACTAAAGAAGGAGCAGTCCCATCGACCCTTCCCTCCCTCAATCCTGCACTGCCATCCAGTGTAAGCCCATGTGTCCCATGCCCAATTACCACTGTTATGTTGTAATGTTAACCTAATACCGCCTCCCTCAGAATTTCACGTGAATAATATCTGGACCCAGCAAATAACTGCTAATATTATCATTTCCTCTGCCCCTCTCCCAGCTATTCCCATGCTCAGCAAGGTGGCTAAGAGTCAACGTTAACCTCCCAGAGTGATGCTAAATTGCTGAGCAAGTTCCTGCTATGACAAGTCAGATGTTTTTATTGCAGCCTTTTCCGTGTGAAATGTCAGTAGTTTAAAATGGAAAAGGATCCCCTTTATGCAGGTAGCATCTACACACATGCTCCGGGATGAGGGGGGCACTTTAATTAGAGCGGCTCTGAGAGCTGCTCTAATTAAAGGGCCCGCAGCGTCACGTGTGTTCAGTGCTCTGCACTTCAAGATCGTGGCGGAGGCACTTGAACTAAAGCTCGTTCAAGAAGCTTTAGTTAAAGCATCCCTGCCATCATTTTGAAGCACAGGGATGCTGAATAGAGGTGACATGGAGGCTACTGGAGCATGTTGATTAACACGCTCCAGCAAACTTGATTAATTGAGTCTGTTCCAATGTGTGCTAATTAGCACGCGTTGGACCAAACATCTGGCAGGGGTATAGGAGCCCTTGGTGGGCAACTCGCCAGCAGCTGACTTCTTCATTTACAGCCATTGAGGGTCAGCCAGATATACCAGGTGTAAAAGGACATTTAAACAGAGGGTCCTTTAAGAGTGGCTATTTTTGTTGTTTTCACTGGACGTGGGGGAGCCAGATACCATCAATTATCGTGAATTTCCTGGTTTTCTGAAGCTTAACACTGATTAAAGTGGGAAACAAAATAAAGACTGAAGAGCAATGGTGTGGCTTTCCTAACAGTCTTTTAGCCCTTTTTGTCCTCTTGTCTAAATGGCAACATTAGGCAGGGCTGCTGCGCCATAAATCAGGGGTGGGCAAAATTGCAGCCGACTTCATTTCCCAGCAGCCCCTGCGGCAGCAGCTCCTCCTGGGTTAGGTTTAGGGTTAGATCCACTGCCCACACGCCCCTGTGACAAGCGTGGGTTTCATGGGCCGGGTGTGCAGGGAATGGACCGTGGCTCTGCCCCAGCTCCGGCCCTGGGCTGTCACCGCCCCAAGATCACAGCCCCAGAGCAGCCCCTGGCCGGTGGAGACCCCAGGATTGTGGGGCTCCAACAGCAATGGGCCAGGGCTGGGGCAAAGCCCTGGTTCTGCAGCCGTATGATCCTGGGGTCTCCACGCAGACCAGCCGCGAGCTGCATGGGCAGGGGCTGCTAGGAAATGGAGTCCGACCACAGGCCAGATCTGCCATTTTACCCACCCTGCCATAAACTCTGGCTGGTTTGAACACTGAACAACCCATTCTGCAGCTTCATTTCACAAGCAATGAGCACTGTGCATTAGAAGAGGCGCATTCCCTTCTGTGACATTTATGTATTGCACACAGAGAACAATACGGCCTTCTCAGACCTAGTTCCTGAAAGCTGCTCCATACTGCCAGAGTCCTGCAACTGTGACCCCTTGACGTTGTTTTCTGCAGGTAGTTGTCTGGGGTTTGGGGGCCTGGTGCAAGACCTGAGCCCAGGACAAAGAAATACCATTCAGGGCATTTTCAAAATGCCAAGAACTTTTCTTAAGTCCCTTTTCCAGCAATAATCTGAAAAATGAACAAGATAAGTAACAATAAACTCTCAAGGAAACAGCATATATTTCACATCATAGACTAACCACATATGATACAATTATTTAAAAATATATATATGGGTTCCATATGCTATCATATATCTCTAAGTCCACCCATTTATGTACACCAACACGAAAAGCTTGAGAAGCATAGGTTTGGGGCCAGGTTCCACAGTCCCTACACAAATCAACCACCCATTTCCTTCAACACAAGTTTTTGCCTGGATGAACACTGCTGGTCTGGGCCTTTTATGTTAGTTGGAAGCATCATGCATATTAATTCTTAAATCACTAAAAAAATAGAATAATTAGAGAATCATCACCAAACACGGCAAAACTGTACTTCTTACAGTATACCACTGTTTTAGGTACATTATTCATTCATGTGAAATGACCAAAGGGAAGGAAGATCCGTTATCCAAGAGTCAAGTTTCTGTCCTAAAAACCCAAGTGAATTGAAATTGAGATTGAAAAAGGAGAATTGCACCATTATCTTCCTACTTGCAGGTACCTTTCCAGTGCTTTCCTTCTTTTACTAGTGTCTTTCACAATATGTCAGGCTCCTAATCACTGTTCACTTCATTCAGAACAAAATACCCTCCACCACAGAGATACCCAGTAGTGTAACTGAGGAGGGGTGACAGGAGCAGCACCCGCAGGCACTGCTTTTACGGGGAGGTGGAAAAGCAGCCATTATCCCAGTGGTGGCTGACAATCCAGACACAATCAGGATAGGAGCCGGCACTGCCCTGGGCGCGCAGCTGTGCTGCTGCACCTCTGGAGATACCCACAGCACAGCAATACTGAGCCAAATCCTGAACTCCTTTGCTCACACTTTGCTCAGAAAGAATGACTGAATCCTAGTAAGGGCTTCAGGATCGTTCCCATTATTATAAAGCTTAATGCATAACGAGAGGCGTTGTTTTCTAGTGGGCTAGACAAGGGCTGGGCCACCAGTGCTAACCCCAGCTCTCACACAGACTCACCCCTTGGCCTCAGGCAATTCATCTACTTGACTCTTGCCTTGGTTTCTTGAGCTCTAATAAGAGGGCATGACAATCTGTGTATCGGGAAGATTAGTTGATTGGTGTTTGCTGGATACTGTCAGGATGACCAATGTTATGCATGTTCTAATGATGCTACCTGCTGTTACGTAACACTTTTCATCCTAGATCGCAAAGTATCTTGTAGACAGTAGCTGACCAATGTCATCTCCATTTCACAGCTGGACAAACCAAGGCCCAGACATTCAATCCCATTTAATTCAATCCAATTTAATCCCATTTAGACCAGCCATCTATAGCAAAAATGGGAATAGAACTCAGACCCTTTCCACTCCCATCCTGACCTCCAAGTCACTGGATTACATTGCACTTTTCATCATCAAAGCCCTTTAGACATCATTTTACACATCAAAGACACATGTTTCTTTTATATGCAAAATCAAGGCAACTCATACCATGCACTCAGACATCCATCAATTTGCACTCACTGTGCTTAGAATTTGATGCTTATTATTTACAAAGAAATGCCCACTAAAAAGTAATACACCTCCCTGGCAGCAAGAAACACAGGACCCCCAAATACAGGCATCTTGCCCGATTCCAGCTATTCTTCTCCTATTTGACTTCTGAAATCTATACTCTATTACTCTCATGTCACTAGACTGTGACCTTAAATCTTATCGCATTTCCTATTCCAAAGACAGAGAACTATAGTAGTAACTCCAGTCCCCTTCTGGTCACTGCTAGTCAATAGTGACTTTTTAAATAATATCTGCTGTATTTTATTTCCTTTTAATCCTTATGTTTTGTGTGTAGAGTAAGCCATTTTGATAGCTGCAGGGATGGGAAAGGGGCTTCGAAACAGAATGCCTTCAAGCTGAATGGGAGGCAGACAACATCTTGTGAGCTTATTAGATCTCTGTAAACTAAAAACCCTAAACTCTGGCTCAGACTTCAACTTTACCCCAAAACTAATCATCACATATAATGCACGTACATTTACACAGCACTCCACAGAATCAAAGATAAACTGGGCTGTAAAGGACCTCAGAGACCCTCTAGTCCAACCCCCAGGGAGACTCATCTCTGTCTAAGCCACCCTAGACAAACAAACATTCGTATAACCTGCATTTAAAAACTCCCAATCCATACACCAATTAAGACATTTTCCTTGATAAAAGCCCTTGAAATCTAAGTTAGACAAGACAAAACACTGGACAGCACATCAAGCACGGAAAGACGTGAAGATGACGAAGAGAGAGAACTGTCGGGGAAGAGGGCAAGACTGCCCCAGCTGAAGGAGGCATGAAGCAGAGGAAGTTATAAAGATGCAGGCAGCCATGGGAAATGCATGGGAAGAGGATGATGGAGTAGGAGAAATGAGAGCAAAGAGACAAGGTCATGTAGCGCTGCGTAGATGACTGGACGTGATACAGTAAGAGCTGGGGAACCATAGTGGGGTCCTAGGGAAAAGGTCAATAGGATCAGAAGCAAGACCAAGTAAGGTGTTAGCAGCACTTTTGTTTGTCCAGGCCAAAAGGGAGAGGGGAAAAGTCAGGGAAAATCGACAGGAACCTGTTGCAATAGCCAGGTGAGTGAGAACCAGCAAGTAGGTTATTAATGGCACGGTTGCTGATATTCATGGAGCAAAATTTACAGGATTTGATGAGCCTGAATAAAAGCAAACAGACAGTGAAAAACAACCCAATGATTGTGAGCAACACCAATGATTGTAAAGCAACGCCAACGATTGTGAGCCCAATAGACAGGAAGGACAGTACATGTGACTATGGAGATAAAGAATTAGGGCCAAAAACTGCTACTACTGAAATCAATAAAGTTTGTCTCTGACATCAGCTGGGTCGTTAGAAGTGGACACTGGGATAACAGGAGTTGAGAAGGGCTAGAAATTAAGTTGATGGCACCTTTAGAAATAGGATAAACAGCTGGAAGGAGACAGGTTAATGGTTAAAGCCAGGCACGCAGAAGAAAGCTCTCAAATAAAGGAATAAGGGAGGGAGTGGTGGGATAGGTTGCGGAAAGGGCAGAACTTGTCCGACCTGGGTGAGTGCTGCTTTTGAGGAAGATGGCTAAGGAAACCTTTTCTGGATCCAACCTCCACACACTCAGCCTGTCTCTAAAAGGAGGCCTCTTCCACGTAGGCCAGAAAAGGTGTAGCTAAATCAGTATGGCAACAGTTTACAAAGATAGGGTGCCTGCAAAAATAGTAAACTATTCAGCTGTAAGTTTTGATAGTCCTGGGGAAAGGCATGATCCCAGGCACTATCCTCTACCCTTAACAGACCCATAATCACTATACAAAAGTATACTCTGCCAGAGGATTTACTTTAGGTTAAAGGCTTGTCTGCACTTCAAAATGTTGCTTTTTCAATTACAACGGCATACTAAAAGCAGCAAACTCCATCTTAGTGTGGACACGATTATGCCAGCATGAGAATACATATACCAGTATCGTTTATACCAGTTTCAGAACCAAAATAAATATAATTATTAATATATTATATCATATAACATATTAATATTATTCTAAATATGATGATACACAATGCCTTTGTAACCAGGAAAATCGCATCTACATTAGAGCTTTTACCAAATTAACTATGGAAGCAAAACAATCCCCCTGGCACAACTGACACACTCACACTGGTTAATCTTCTAAGTCTAAACTAGCCTTAAATAGGATAACAATTGTAAGGATGCCCTCAGCATAAAGCAGTGTCTAATTAAGACACCTGAGGTCCTTAAGTACATCATTTTCATGTTCATCAAACTAAGTTTTCCCATTGTGTCCTAACATCATTCCCCCACCCATGAGCACCTCCCAGGAGGTACTTACATTTATGACATAACTAGACAACTTACACGACAGCACATCACAGTTCTGGTACTTCATCAAAATCAACAAAATATTCAGAATAGCCTTATTCGCTCCTGTGCTCTGTGTCATTTGAATCCCAAAACATCAATTCTGCCCAAATCATGCAGAATCGTCTTGATGGCTCAACAGAGCGATACAAGTGCCATTCAGCTTGAAAACGATCTGGCAGGATTCAGAGGGGACAATGCATTCCTGTGCTTGGAAACAATGTCTGAAGGCCAGAGCTGGTGACTGCCGAAGAAGACATACATAGACATTGTTAGCCTTTTTGGCTGGAAGGAAGTATTACATCTATGAGAAAGACAGATGCATTTGGAGAAGAGAAGGAGACTTGATGGGGGGAGGCACAGGGAAGAAAAATCTGTGGTGCTCTTACTGATTCAGTAAGACTTGATATTGATAGTTAGCGTCGCTGGGAACTAGAGTTTAGCCCCCCGCTGCATCTTGCCTGAATTCTTCTCAAACGACCGTCTTGGCTGTATCACATCTAGCAGATGCGTTTCGCCAGTACGGTGTGACATGACGGAATAAAGATCACAGCTTATATATTTGCCCTTTGAACTACACGGATACATAAAGAACTTCCTTTTAAAATCTGAATGCATGAGAACCACTGTTGCAATAAAACTGCCGATGTCCAGTGGTGTCTGCTTCAGAAGCATCTGTGTAATGCCATCCACCGTGTGCTAAAATCCTCCTCAACCAGTGAGTTCAGTTGGGTGCTTTTCCTGAAAGTGAAATGACACCTACACTGATGTGCTTTGTGGATCTCTAAAACCTATTAGAAATGTGCTTCTTACTTGATTTGATTTCTAGGGCAGGGCATATCGTGTGACACAAGAGTTTTGCTTTACCCGAATCAAAGTGAACCCTACTCAGCTAGCAGGAAAGATGCTGCTATCCCAGCTCCTATGGAACGCAATGCCTTGAGAAATTTGTATCAAACAATTATTGCATAATCTCATGATGTAAGAAAACTCTTCTACACTAAACACAGACAGTAAGTTCCTGTTGCACTTTTACACCAGAGGAAAAAGACACAACCATCAACAGCAGCTGCAGGTCCCCGTGTGAACCCGCAGGATACCTTTGCTGTGCATGTGAAGGAAGTTGAAGATTTCTGATGGCATAGCATGGAAGCCAGGGCGAGGTTTGACATTGTCATAATAGTGATGAGTTATAAAAATCCCTGAGGGGTTCATGGGGAAAGCCCAAAAGCCAAACAGGTGGACCTCTTCACACAGCTCCAGGGCAGCAGTCACCAGAATCAGCCCTGTGCTAACACGCTTGGCCCGCACCCCTTGACCGAGCCAGTACCGCGAGACGTTGATGAGATACTGCGGGTGGAAGTAGTAAACAGCTTGCTGAGATTCAAAATCATCCAGGACGTATTTGACCCGGATAGAGACATCCGTGTTGCGCGTGTTGTAGAAAGCGGGCAGCAACACCGATGCGTTTTCATAAACCTGGAGCACGTCGTAGAAGGGTTTGCGCCATTTCTCCAGTTTATGGAACCTGCAGGTACAAGGAGGCAAATGACAATCAAATGGGCACAACTAAACAAACCAGCAAGAAACTCTTATGCTGATGGGGAAATTTTGCATGACTCATTCCCGATTTTTCAGTAGAGCTGGTTGCAAAAAATTCCGTCGACATTTTGTTCCAGTGAAAGATGAAAAATATATTTAGCTCAGCAATTGGGGTACATATTCATATGAAAATTTTGGCATAAAGGGAGAGGAAATTAAAGTTAGGGACATATGGCCCTTGATCAGTAAGTTCACTGGCCTTTGCATGGTCGGTTACATATAATTTTTTTCTTTCAAAATATCAGTATTTTAAGATCTTGAAATTTTTTGATCAGCTATTCCTTAAATAAATGATTAACCCCTATTGGCATAGGGTTATGGAAAATAATGAATAAGCTGCACATCAGAACAGGAAAGTTAATGAAATATCTGAATTCCTAGATCTGACCAAATATATCTGTTATGACCAAATCCCACTCAGATTATTCATGGATGATGACATAATGAAGGAAAAGATTGACTAACTAAAGATTTAACAGTAAGGCCCCTATTGTATGATTAACTTTACACATAGGAACGGTGTCTTTGATTCAACAGGATCATACAAGACTCTGCTTAACTTTATATATATGCTACTGGCCATAATGGGACATATGCAGATGCCTAAGTGACTTGGTGAATGACAGCCAGAATCCCAGCATAGCACAGAATCAGGCCCCTATGTCTAATCTAAACTAGGACTATAATGTGGGTTTAGCAAACTGGCTAATTAATTAGCAAGATTTAGTATCCTTGGACAACCCGTGGCACTCAAACTGAATAGCATAAAAAAGAAGTTTCTTTGTCTACACTAAACACTACATTTTACCTAAAACACATAATTAAGTGTTAGCTTAGTTAATACACTTACTAAACAGGATTTATTCCTGCAGTGTACACATGGCATTTTTGACTAGGAGAGGGCTTCCCTTAAGGTGCTTTCAGTTCATCAACTACCCACTTTTCAGTATTAAAATGCAAGCCCAGGTGCTGCTATTTATCACAGTGCTTAGATACAATAATCAGGAAGTAATTTTTCTTGCAGTTAATTACTATGTGAAGAGTAAAATACATGATTAACAGTGTAGGATTTTTAAACCACTGAAGACAGATTTGTGTGATACTTTTCTGTTTGCTTTGCAAAGATATGGGAGGGAAGTCTAGAGAGGTTTAAAAAAGAAATGACTTGACCTTTCAGTAATTATACTGGGATTGACTGTCACAACATCTGTCTTCACCCCAACATCCACTGTATATTTCTCAGATATAGGAGGCAAGTTGCATCTAAAGGAAAGAAGTAAACAAGTATGTTAAATATTTCATTGCAGCTGTTCAGGACTGCGGTATGAAGTCGTGTTTAAACATTTGTTCCAAGAAGCAAAATTAGAAACATGCTGTGAATTTAGATCCTGACCAAACTGTGCTGATGCTCAAACTGCGTATTGCAGGTAACAAGCTGGTGACGCTAGCAGCTGTCAGAAGAAATATATTTACTCTTTCCTGCTATGGTGAATGTTAACCTCTCTAGTAGCAATGTCCATTGCTCATTGATGATATTTCCCTCTTGATGGCTCATTGATTTGATTTTGATAATATCTTTGTCCAGAAATATGTGGCTAAAATTCCAATAAAAAATCATCTCTAAAGCCATCGAGTTCTTTAGTGTCAACTGTAATGCTATGGGTTATTTATACATTTGGCCCAAAAGCTAAAATTAAATTGTGAAAAAATTCAATGAAGTTACAGGACATACCATGCTTTACTATAAAAAACATCCAATATACCAAATCAGAAAAGCATTACATCTCAGCAGATGGTCATTCAATGGGTAAATGTTTCAAGACTTAGGTCCTCCTAAAAAGCCAGTGATGTTTATACACTGATAGACCAGCTAAATAACGGTTACATACGTTGTATAAAAAATATGAAATCTTCTTACTCCAAGGATATTTTTGTTGTGAAAATGAAAAAAAAAAGCAGTCCCTGCCCAGGCATTTCTTCTCCGCACGTGTCTGATGTGCTTCAGTGCAGTTTGCCAGTTTGGGCAGTAGGCGGAGCTAGGCGACAGCTACTGGCCAGTGCATATTTCCATAAGTGCATAAAATAGACAATTCTTTGTGATAAATATTTGCTTATGCAAGAAGAAAATGTTTTAAATCCCCCTGCCCATAAGTCTTCCTGTCAGTATTAAAATATGCACAGGCCTCAACACGATACCACTGAATTCAGCAGATCTCTTTTGACAGGCGATGCGGCAAAGGCTGAAGTGCTCAATGCCTTTTTTGCCTCAACCCTCATAAGCAAGGTCCGCTCCCAGACTACTGCACCGGGCAGCACAGTTTGAGGAGGAGGTGAGCAGCCAACAGTGGCAAACAAACAGATTAGAAACTGTTTATAAAAGCTGGACGTGTACAAGCTGGACACGATGCATCTGAGGATGCTTAGGGAATTAGTCAGTGTGACTGCACAGCTGCCAGCCATTATCTTTGAAAGCTCATGGTGACTTTCCCAGTGATTGGAAAAGGGCAAATATAGCGCTCATCTTGAAAAAAGGGAAGGAGGATCTGATCAGCCTCAACTCAGTCCCTGGAAAAATCATGGAGCAAGATTCTCTAAGAATCCATTTCTAAGCACGTGGAGGAGAAGATGATTAGGAACAGTCAGCATGGATTCACCATGGGCAGTCACTCCTGACCAACCTGATTGCTTTCTCCGACAATGTGACTCGTTCTGTAGATACAGGGAGAGCAGTGGATGTGATATACCTTGACTTCAGCAAGGCTTTTGATAAGGTCTCCCACTAAGCCTGTGTAAAGCAGTTAGTATTCACTTCAGATTCGGACGATTTGGGGGACAGTGACTCGAATCACTGTCCCTAATTGATTTGGCCAAATCTGATTCGGAGATTTGGCCGCTGCCAAATTGGCCGAATCTCCGAATCAAACAGGTCCCATCCCCCACCTGCTCTCCCAGCCCCATCAATGGCTGCCTCGCCCAGCCCAGCTTCCCAGCTCTTAAAAAAAATAAAATAAAAGCCCCGCACTCACCGGCTCCTGCCAGGTGTGGGGGTGATCCCTGCTGCCCTCCACTGCCCCGTGCTGCATGGGGAGCTCGGCCACAAGCCCCCAGAAGCCCCGAGGGCTGCCGCAGCAGCTGGTGAGTGCCAGGCTTTTTTTTTTTTTTAAAGAACCAGGAGCTGGGGCAGCCGGGGCAGCCATGGAGGGAGCTGGAGGAGTGGGTGGGGTATGAGGGATCATGGCAGAGCCCCCCATGCAGTACAGAGAAGTGGAGGGGCAGGGGGGTTCCCCCCCCCCCCCCGCCGCCTGGCAGCAGCTAGTGACTACGGGTTTTTGTTTTTTTTTTTAAAAGGCAGGATGCTGGGGCTGGGCAGGGCAGCCATTGACAGGGCTGGGAGAGTGGATGGGGGTCAGGCAGCTGGGGGATCAGGCATGGGATGGGGCCTGATGGGGTCCCCCCATGGTCCCCTCTCTCCTCCTCCAGCCCCCTCCCCCCCCTCCGCCCCCTACTTACCGGCATGGAGTCCAGGTCCAGTTCCCTGCGGTGGCGAATGAGGACTGCCCGAATCTCTGAAGCTCTCTGAATCTTTTCTGAATAGATTCGGGGAGCTTCGAATCGATTTGGACCTTTTTATTGGTCTCCCGATTTGATTTGGATTCGGAGATTCAGCCACCGAATTGGGCCGAATCTCCTCCGAATTGAATCAGCACCCGAAGCTTCACACAGCCCTATTATCCACTCACTAAAGTTACTCCAGTTCTCTACCTCATAGCTGTTCTTCTATAGATCCAGTACTTGCTTCAACCAGTGCTAGGAACAGTGTTGAGCAGTATAAATAGGTGGGCATCTACATGTATTCTGGTATGGCCATCCTATTTCTAGAAGGATATACCAAAAGTGGAAAGGCGTCTGAAACACCACAGATATTAATTAGAGGTACACAGGGTCTTCCAGCTGAGGGATGGGGTTACAAACATTGCAACTGTTTTGCTTGGAGAAAGTAATAAAGGTGTTGAACAGTAAAGAAATATCAATAAGGTGCTTCTATTCATTATTTGACCGAGTGTAATAATTAATCTGCTCTTATTTTCACCAGTTTAAATTTGGTATAACTTATTGACTTTAGTTGGAATTAGTCTGGATTTATACCAAGTTCAGAATCTGACCTAATGTATGTATAAAGAAATACCCGATACTTTTTCCAACACACAAACCGAACTGTGGAATTCAGACTCCTCCCTAGCTATTACAGTGAAGATAAAAATATATAGGGATATCGACCTTCAGGACATCAGCCAATTACCAGTCACCTTTTGTTAGGAAAAAAATCACCAGACAAGTATGTTATTTCACAGTTGTCTATTAGGCAAGTTTTTTTCTTCTGAACCATATCGTTCTGGCCACTGACAGAGACAGGGTAGAACATTAGGTGAAATATTGTTTTGATCAAGCCTGGCAAATCCTGCGCTACTAGGTCAGAAAGATGAGATACATGATCCTCCATTTAGTATCATAAAATGTTAAAATTGCTGCATAGGAAAGATTACCGAAATACAAAATCTGCACTGTCGATCTCCCGTCCACATCTGCTGTTCTTCAGAATCCCTCCATTCCCAACTACAGCACATTTCTTAAATTGGGAGCGATAATATGGCATATCCTACAACAAAATGAGAACAAACCAGTTACTCTCCTGAAATATAACTGTGGCGGGTCTCTTTTCTACAACTGTGTCTCCAAAGAGGGTCATACAGATAGGGAATTACCAAGGATATCATCCCCAGCCATTTGTAATCCCATGTTTATTTGAACTGATAAATTCAATGGAGAAAACCCTACCCTTCCATTGATATCAACAACTGATTCTGTAAAGGCCTATTCTCTTAAAGACTTTCTTTCATTTCTGGTTTCCAGATGGGGACATGAACCATAGAATCAATCCATCATAGGCACTTTATTCTGAATTGCTACAAATACTGTGTCTCCACAAATTGACTTCCTGCTTATAAAAGCCAAAAATCTGTACACATAAGCCATGCAACCTAGTTCAGAGTACTCAACAGGTCCACAAACTTCAGAGGAAGGGGAGATATTCTGGATGTTGATCAAAACTGAACTTGAATGCTGGGGTTTGATATTCAACCATCATAAGCTGTCATAAAAGCATTAGGCTTATTATCTAGTACTTGAATTAGGACAATAGCTAGGGGCCCTAATCAAAGATTGTTCTAAGAACTGTACAAAATAACTGAAAAGTAATTCCTGCCCTAAAAAGCTGACAATTTAGACCCTGACCTATAAAAACGTATACAACTTCTTAATGTTATGAATGCTGACTAGTCCCCTTGACAGCAATAAATTATGTGGGTCAATCTTTGCTGGATTGAGGCCTGGGTCACAAGCATCTCTTCTCTCTGCTGAAGGGCAAAAGTCTGCCATCACACATGCATGTAGGTGTTACTGAAGTCAACGGGAGCTATAATCATGTATGCGCAGGCAGATTGGAGCCCTGAGGGTGAGAGAAGCATGCAGTAAAATCTCAACAGAAATGACACCCTATGAATATGTAGAGATGTGCTTAGGTATGCATGAAAATGCTTCTGCCGCCACAGACATATTTTATCAATAATTTCAGACAGAAAAATTCAGATAGAATTGGGATGGGAAATGTATTTCTAAGTGATTATTTATGGTACGCTTTCCATGGGTTCAACAAACCTGAGGCTGAAGAGCG